GTGTGAGTGTGAGTGTGAGTGTGTGTGTGAGTGTGAGTGTGAGTGTGTGTGTGTGTGTGTTCTGCGCAAAGTTAGTTAAAATTTCAGACACAACTTCCAACTTTTGTTCTCAAGTAGAAATGAATGCTGTCAGGACGTCTTGATTTGATCAAAAGTGGCTTTTGCGTACGTGAGCTGAGATGCTAACTAAGCTAGTGTGTGGATTTAGCTGTAATTGGAAGATTTACTGCTGCATGACCTTCACATTAATGTTCAAACTCATGTGTCTTATCAGATTATGTTAAAATATATTTTATAATTTTACAGTTTCATCTGCTTAGACCAGTTTAGACCATCTTAAATTTGGTTTTATACAGTAAAATGCTAGTATTTTGTTAGCTGGTTAATTAAGATCATAATTGTTCTTGAACCAGCTTAACTTGTGTAACCACACGCTCTAAAAAAATGCTGGGTTGTTTCAACCCAACTTTGGTCAAATATGGACTAACCTAGCTTTTGGGTTTACTCTTCAGATTAAATTTGTATCCCAAAAGTTGGGTTAGTCCATATTTGACCCAAAGTTGGGTTGAAACAACCCAGCATTATTTAGAGTGTAGATTCATTTATTTATGCATTTCTTTTTCTGTTACTTGAAAAATATTTACTTCAAATGTTTTTATTTTATTTTATTCATGTTTAAACTGATAATGCATTATCAAAATTTGACATACACCTTCCAGGTGCACCCTAGACACATCATCAGTGATGTTACCTGGGGTCATCGGGTGTTTCGGGTCTTTCAACATCATACACCCTCGCCCAGGCGACCCAGCCAGGGGTGATCAGTCCCCGACTTGTGTCTAGGTAGCTTGTGTAGTCCACGGATCGCCCCTTTTGATCCACAGCCATCTTGATGCCTTCTCCGCGGCATCCATGATGTTCCTGATGGCTCTGTTACGGCATTCACCTGTCAACTCCTCATACTTGGCTCTCTTCCGTTCAAATGCCTCTTCCATCCGGTCTTCCCAGGGCACAGTCAATTCCAGTAGAACCACCTGCCTTGATGATTCTGAAAATAGGACCATGTCAGGCCTAAGTGTGGTCGTGGCGATGGTTTCTGGAAATCTGAGCTGCCTTCCCAGGTCAACCTTTAACTGCCAGTCTCGAGCTGTTGCTAGAAGTCCCCCCGCTGAGTTCCTGCTCCCTTGTGGTTTCTCTCCCGCCTTAACAAATGTGATTGTGTGCTGTACTGGCTGCTGGTGCTTGCTGAGAGAGATTCCGGTACTGATGGTTCCAGCAATTACCCTTAGCACCTGGTCGTGGCGCCACCGATAACGTCCCTCTCCCAGCGCCGTAGGGCAGCAGCTTAATATGTGCTCTAGGGATCCTCTTTTTTGGCACAAGAGGCATGCAGGGGTGTCTTTCAGGCCCCATGAGAAGAGGTTGGTTGGACTGGGGAGGACATCGTAGACTGATTGGATAAGGAACTGGATCCGGTATGGCTCTGCTTTCCACAGCTCAGTCCACGAGATCTTTCGGTCCATTGCTTGTTCCCATCGAGTCCACACCCCCCTTGTTGTCGCATCCCCACCATCCTACTGATGCGTCTTTCCTCCACCCCTGCTCGGATTATGTTAGAATCATATTTCATATTTTCACATGTATAATATTGATATTTTTAATTTATGTTTATTTATGTTTATTTCTTCAGTGGAAATAAAAAAAGCAAAATTTACTCAAACTGTTTTATTTTATTTTATTTTATTATGGTTATTTTATTTTAGTTTTTTTGTATTTATTATTTAATTTTAATTGTATTTATGTTTAAACTGATAATGCATTATGTTTCGATTATGATTATGTTGGATTAGAAATTATATTTCATATCTTTTTATTTATGTTTATTAAACATTAAAATATTTCTGTATTTCTTCTGTGAAATTTGAAAAACTTACTCCAACTGTTTTTATTTTATTTTATATTTTATTTTATTTTATTAAAAATAAAACCTAAAATGTGTGGATTTAGCTATAAAACAACCTCCATATTAACGTTCAATTATTAATGTTAGTTTATATTTTCAAATGTTCATCTTTTCCTGGGGAAAAAAAAATTCTCAGACCAGTTTAGATCACCTTTAATTGTAAGGTTTGGTTTTTAGACAAACAATGCTGCTCTTTTACTAGCTGGTTAAGATAAGATGCTTAACTAGTGTCGCCATCCTGGTCACTAGCTAAAACCAACATTATAAGTCAGTAATGTTCATTTGTTTAGTACTAGTTTAGCTGATGTATACTAGTTTGTGATGGAAGGAGCTGTGATAGTGCGTTATTCACTATCTGTGTGTGTGTGTGTGTGTGTGTGTGAGAGAGTGTGAGTGTGTGAGTGTGAGTGTGAGTGTGAGTGTGAGTGTGAGTGTGAGTGTGAGTGTGAGTGTGAGTGTGAGTGTGAGTGTGAGTGTGAGTGTGAGTGTGAGTGTGAGTGTGAGTGTGAGTGTGAGTGTGAGTGTGAGTGTGAGTGTGAGTGTGAGTGTGAGTGTGAGTGTGAGTGTGAGTGTGAGTGTGAGTGTGAGTGTGAGTGTGAGTGTGAGTGTGAGTGTGAGTGTGAGTGTGAGTGTGAGTGTGAGTGTGAGTGTGAGTGTGAGTGTGAGTGTGAGTGTGAGTGTGAGTGTGAGTGTGAGTGTGAGTGTGAGTGTGAGTGTGAGTGTGAGTGTGAGTGTGAGTGTGAGTGTGAGTGTGAGTGTGAGTGTGAGTGTGAGTGTGAGTGTGAGTGTGAGTGTGAGTGTGAGTGTGAGTGTGAGTGTGAGTGTGAGTGTGAGTGTGAGTGTGAGTGTGAGTGTGAGTGTGAGTGTGAGTGTGAGTGTGAGTGTGAGTGTGAGTGTGAGTGTGAGTGTGAGTGTGAGTGTGAGTGTGAGTGTGAGTGTGAGTGTGAGTGTGAGTGTGAGTGTGAGTGTGAGTGTGAGTGTGAGTGTGAGTGTGAGTGTGAGTGTGAGTGTGAGTGTGAGTGTGAGTGTGAGTGTGAGTGTGAGTGTGAGTGTGAGTGTGAGTGTGAGTGTGAGTGTGAGTGTGAGTGTGAGTGTGAGTGTGAGTGTGAGTGTGAGTGTGAGTGTGAGTGTGAGTGTGAGTGTGAGTGTGAGTGTGAGTGTGAGTGTGAGTGTGAGTGTGAGTGTGAGTGTGAGTGTGAGTGTGAGTGTGAGTGTGAGTGTGAGTGTGAGTGTGAGTGTGAGTGTGAGTGTGAGTGTGAGTGTGAGTGTGAGTGTGAGTGTGAGTGTGAGTGTGAGTGTGAGTGTGAGTGTGAGTGTGAGTGTGAGTGTGAGTGTGAGTGTGAGTGTGAGTGTGAGTGTGAGTGTGAGTGTGAGTGTGAGTGTGAGTGTGAGTGTGAGTGTGAGTGTGAGTGTGAGTGTGAGTGTGAGTGTGAGTGTGAGTGTGAGTGTGAGTGTGAGTGTGAGTGTGAGTGTGAGTGTGAGTGTGAGTGTGAGTGTGAGTGTGAGTGTGAGTGTGAGTGTGAGTGTGAGTGTGAGTGTGAGTGTGAGTGTGAGTGTGAGTGTGAGTGTGAGTGTGAGTGTGAGTGTGAGTGTGAGTGTGAGTGTGAGTGTGAGTGTGAGTGTGAGTGTGAGTGTGAGTGTGAGTGTGAGTGTGAGTGTGAGTGTGAGTGTGAGTGTGAGTGTGAGTGTGAGTGTGAGTGTGAGTGTGAGTGTGAGTGTGAGTGTGAGTGTGAGTGTGAGTGTGAGTGTGAGTGTGAGTGTGAGTGTGAGTGTGAGTGTGAGTGTGAGTGTGAGTGTGAGTGTGAGTGTGAGTGTGAGTGTGAGTGTGAGTGTGAGTGTGAGTGTGAGTGTGAGTGTGAGTGTGAGTGTGAGTGTGAGTGTGAGTGTGAGTGTGAGTGTGAGTGTGAGTGTGAGTGTGAGTGTGAGTGTGAGTGTGAGTGTGAGTGTGAGTGTGAGTGTGAGTGTGAGTGTGAGTGTGAGTGTGAGTGTGAGTGTGAGTGTGAGTGTGAGTGTGAGTGTGAGTGTGAGTGTGAGTGTGAGTGTGAGTGTGAGTGTGAGTGTGAGTGTGAGTGTGAGTGTGAGTGTGAGTGTGAGTGTGAGTGTGAGTGTGAGTGTGAGTGTGAGTGTGAGTGTGAGTGTGAGTGTGAGTGTGAGTGTGAGTGTGAGTGTGAGTGTGAGTGTGAGTGTGAGTGTGAGTGTGAGTGTGAGTGTGAGTGTGAGTGTGAGTGTGAGTGTGAGTGTGAGTGTGAGTGTGAGTGTGAGTGTGAGTGTGAGTGTGAGTGTGAGTGTGAGTGTGAGTGTGAGTGTGAGTGTGAGTGTGAGTGTGAGTGTGAGTGTGAGTGTGAGTGTGAGTGTGAGTGTGAGTGTGAGTGTGAGTGTGAGTGTGAGTGTGAGTGTGAGTGTGAGTGTGAGTGTGAGTGTGAGTGTGAGTGTGAGTGTGAGTGTGAGTGTGAGTGTGAGTGTGAGTGTGAGTGTGAGTGTGAGTGTGAGTGTGAGTGTGAGTGTGAGTGTGAGTGTGAGTGTGAGTGTGAGTGTGAGTGTGAGTGTGAGTGTGAGTGTGAGTGTGAGTGTGAGTGTGAGTGTGAGTGTGAGTGTGAGTGTGAGTGTGAGTGTGAGTGTGAGTGTGAGTGTGAGTGTGAGTGTGAGTGTGAGTGTGAGTGTGAGTGTGAGTGTGAGTGTGAGTGTGAGTGTGAGTGTGAGTGTGAGTGTGAGTGTGAGTGTGAGTGTGAGTGTGAGTGTGAGTGTGAGTGTGAGTGTGAGTGTGAGTGTGAGTGTGAGTGTGAGTGTGAGTGTGAGTGTGAGTGTGAGTGTGAGTGTGAGTGTGAGTGTGAGTGTGAGTGTGAGTGTGAGTGTGAGTGTGAGTGTGAGTGTGAGTGTGAGTGTGAGTGTGAGTGTGAGTGTGAGTGTGAGTGTGAGTGTGAGTGTGAGTGTGAGTGTGAGTGTGAGTGTGAGTGTGAGTGTGAGTGTGAGTGTGAGTGTGAGTGTGAGTGTGAGTGTGAGTGTGAGTGTGAGTGTGAGTGTGAGTGTGAGTGTGAGTGTGAGTGTGAGTGTGAGTGTGAGTGTGAGTGTGAGTGTGAGTGTGAGTGTGAGTGTGAGTGTGAGTGTGAGTGTGAGTGTGAGTGTGAGTGTGAGTGTGAGTGTGAGTGTGAGTGTGAGTGTGAGTGTGAGTGTGAGTGTGAGTGTGAGTGTGAGTGTGAGTGTGAGTGTGAGTGTGAGTGTGAGTGTGAGTGTGAGTGTGAGTGTGAGTGTGAGTGTGAGTGTGAGTGTGAGTGTGAGTGTGAGTGTGAGTGTGAGTGTGAGTGTGAGTGTGAGTGTGAGTGTGAGTGTGAGTGTGAGTGTGAGTGTGAGTGTGAGTGTGAGTGTGAGTGTGAGTGTGAGTGTGAGTGTGAGTGTGAGTGTGAGTGTGAGTGTGAGTGTGAGTGTGAGTGTGAGTGTGAGTGTGAGTGTGAGTGTGAGTGTGAGTGTGAGTGTGAGTGTGAGTGTGAGTGTGAGTGTGAGTGTGAGTGTGAGTGTGAGTGTGAGTGTGAGTGTGAGTGTGAGTGTGAGTGTGAGTGTGAGTGTGAGTGTGAGTGTGAGTGTGAGTGTGAGTGTGAGTGTGAGTGTGAGTGTGAGTGTGAGTGTGAGTGTGAGTGTGAGTGTGAGTGTGAGTGTGAGTGTGAGTGTGAGTGTGAGTGTGAGTGTGAGTGTGAGTGTGAGTGTGAGTGTGAGTGTGAGTGTGAGTGTGAGTGTGAGTGTGAGTGTGAGTGTGAGTGTGAGTGTGAGTGTGAGTGTGAGTGTGAGTGTGAGTGTGAGTGTGAGTGTGAGTGTGAGTGTGAGTGTGAGTGTGAGTGTGAGTGTGAGTGTGAGTGTGAGTGTGAGTGTGAGTGTGAGTGTGAGTGTGAGTGTGAGTGTGAGTGTGAGTGTGAGTGTGAGTGTGAGTGTGAGTGTGAGTGTGAGTGTGAGTGTGAGTGTGAGTGTGAGTGTGAGTGTGAGTGTGAGTGTGAGTGTGAGTGTGAGTGTGAGTGTGAGTGTGAGTGTGAGTGTGAGTGTGAGTGTGAGTGTGAGTGTGAGTGTGAGTGTGAGTGTGAGTGTGAGTGTGAGTGTGAGTGTGAGTGTGAGTGTGAGTGTGAGTGTGAGTGTGAGTGTGAGTGTGAGTGTGAGTGTGAGTGTGAGTGTGAGTGTGAGTGTGAGTGTGAGTGTGAGTGTGAGTGTGAGTGTGAGTGTGAGTGTGAGTGTGAGTGTGAGTGTGAGTGTGAGTGTGAGTGTGAGTGTGAGTGTGAGTGTGAGTGTGAGTGTGAGTGTGAGTGTGAGTGTGAGTGTGAGTGTGAGTGTGAGTGTGAGTGTGAGTGTGAGTGTGAGTGTGAGTGTGAGTGTGAGTGTGAGTGTGAGTGTGAGTGTGAGTGTGAGTGTGAGTGTGAGTGTGAGTGTGAGTGTGAGTGTGAGTGTGAGTGTGAGTGTGAGTGTGAGTGTGAGTGTGAGTGTGAGTGTGAGTGTGAGTGTGAGTGTGAGTGTGAGTGTGAGTGTGAGTGTGAGTGTGAGTGTGAGTGTGAGTGTGAGTGTGAGTGTGAGTGTGAGTGTGAGTGTGAGTGTGAGTGTGAGTGTGAGTGTGAGTGTGAGTGTGAGTGTGAGTGTGAGTGTGAGTGTGAGTGTGAGTGTGAGTGTGAGTGTGAGTGTGAGTGTGAGTGTGAGTGTGAGTGTGAGTGTGAGTGTGAGTGTGAGTGTGAGTGTGAGTGTGAGTGTGAGTGTGAGTGTGAGTGTGAGTGTGAGTGTGAGTGTGAGTGTGAGTGTGAGTGTGAGTGTGAGTGTGAGTGTGAGTGTGAGTGTGAGTGTGAGTGTGAGTGTGAGTGTGAGTGTGAGTGTGAGTGTGAGTGTGAGTGTGAGTGTGAGTGTGAGTGTGAGTGTGAGTGTGAGTGTGAGTGTGAGTGTGAGTGTGAGTGTGAGTGTGAGTGTGAGTGTGAGTGTGAGTGTGAGTGTGAGTGTGAGTGTGAGTGTGAGTGTGAGTGTGAGTGTGAGTGTGAGTGTGAGTGTGAGTGTGAGTGTGAGTGTGAGTGTGAGTGTGAGTGTGAGTGTGAGTGTGAGTGTGAGTGTGAGTGTGAGTGTGAGTGTGAGTGTGAGTGTGAGTGTGAGTGTGAGTGTGAGTGTGAGTGTGAGTGTGAGTGTGAGTGTGAGTGTGAGTGTGAGTGTGTGTGTGTGTGTGTGTGTGTGTGTGTGTGTGTGTGATATTACCGCCCATATAGTGAGTTCTTGCATCATCAGCTAAACTGCAAAGACTTTCATGTGCTGGCTATAGAGAAGAAAACATGCCAAAATAAATAAATACACCATAAAATACACATTTCCTTTCAATTTTCATCAAATTCAGCCCTGAATTAATTGTTTTATATGAATTTACTAATTATTCTTTCATTTTTGTATTTATATACTGTATAGATATACTATATGTGTATATTTATGTATATGGTATAGAAAAGAAACGAATCACCCCCCTTTAAATAAACACATTTTGTTGCTTTGCAGCCTGAAATGAAGACGGACACAGTTTTATCCAGCTGTATTTACTCAGTGCAACTTATAACATCCAAGTGAAAGATAAAACACCAACACGTCAAAAAATAAATAAATAAATAAAAAAGCAGAATCACTGAGTTGGAAAAAGGATCACCCCTTGTGTCAGTGTTTTGTTGAACCACCTTTTGCTTTAATTACAGCCTTAAGTATAGCCTATATACAGTATATAAATACATATATTACTAAAATGAAAAAATATGCTTATAATTATTTTTTATTCTTACATAATATATTGTTGTATTTTTTTTCTATTTATTGATTATATTTATTACCATACTTAGTACATATATATATATATACATTTGTATATATGTTGAATATTTGAACATTTGTTGAATATTTATTTCTTTATTCGTACATTACATTCTTGCATATTTATTTCCATGTTTTTATATGTATTTGTATATATAATTATTACAATATATAATCATTTTATTATTTAAATATTATTGTTAGAATATGTAACATTACCTCCAGGTGTAATATATAACATTTATTTATTCATTTATGTATTTCTTTTTATAAGAAACTTGAAAAATATTTACTTTGCTGTGTTCTTTTCTTTTCTTTTCTTTTCTTTTCCTTTCTTTTCTTTTTTCTTTTCCTTTCTTTGCTTTTCTTTTGCAGGTTTGGTCCTCCATACAGCACAACTCATGAAGTTGGTACTGTGTACAGTATATTGAATATTGAAAGGAAAAACATTCATTAAGGGAATTCAAAGGAAGTTCATCCAAAAGTGAAAATTCATTATGTACTGTATCTCATTTGCTCTTCAGCATATTCAAAATTTAATGAAATTTAAAAATGTAAACTTTTGACACATGAGAATCAGAATCAAACTTCAGAAGACTCTTAATACGGTGCACAAATCACACAGGATGAACTACTTTTATGGTGTTTTTTTCAGTCCTTTCTGGATCTCATCAGCCTCTTCTTCTGTCATTGTACTGAAAAGAGCAGCGTGAACATTCTGCTAAACTCCATTTGTGTTTGAAGTGAGATGAGAGTGAGTAAATGATGACAGAATCTTCCTTTAAAGCATTTTTTCTGGTCTAAGGCCTTTCTGTCCTCTAAGGCACATTCATTTTTACTCTCCGTTCCCCTGCAGCTGTCCTGTAAGCATCGCACTCGCTCCATCGCTCACTGCTTCTCTGTTTCTGAATCAAACACACACACACACACACACACACACACTCACACCATATGGTGCCGCTCCGCCACTAGACATTCTGCGCAGCGTCAGAGAGCAGCAGCCATGTGGAAAATGATAGCAACTTTAATGATTATTTTTCAGTGAGAGTGTGTTTTCAGCAGTATTACTCCTGCAGGCATTCTTAATCGACTCCTCTTCACACACACACACACACACACTCCCAAACAAACTTATTCACTGTGAAATTCAGTCGCAGAGGTTTCTCAAAGGCTTTTGTGGAAACCGCATTTCCTTGTGTCACTAACAAAACTGAAAAACACCATAGTGTGCAGGGTACACTAACAATAATATTAAAAATTGCTTGAAATTAAATTAAATTTCTACATTTTAAATTAAAAGCATTTCTCATTTTTATTTAAAGTTCAAGTACTAAAAAAACTAAGACAAAATAAACTAAAACTTATTAAAAAAAAGATATATAGATATATATAGAGAGAGAGAGAGAGACATTTAAAAAAAAAAAAGATAAAAAATAATGCAAAATTAAAGAGACAACAAAATTACTAAAACTTTCAAATGAAAACACAAAAAAATAAAAATAAAATGTCATTAAAAATATTAACAAAAATTAAAATAGTATATCAATGATACAATAAAAAAGTACAGCATTTTGGACATGGCGCCATGGAAATACCATCATTTTGTGTATGTTACAATTATGGCAATCATTCAAGCTGTATATCAAAGTAACATAATATTATATGAGACCATCATTGTACCCTGGTAATGCCACGTTACTTTTTGTTATAGGTGTTTTGTGCTTTTAAGTTGTACATAAATAATGTCACATTACTCTTAGCAAATGTCAAGCAACTGGTTAAAGTTGAATAATATGTGTAAGCATGTTTTTCACTTGGGCCAATAAGAGCTCTACATTGAAAATGTGTGTGTGTGTGTGTG